TGGATGGGCGATTTTTATTTAAGTTCTTTTGGACTGAAGCAATGCAACACCCGCTGAGTGCCATGAAACAGCTTGAAAGATCAAGGACTATTTTTAATATAACTCCGACTGGATTCGTCTGAAAGAAGAAAGTCATATACACCTAGGATGCCTCGGGGGTGAGTAAAACGCAGCCTAATTTTCATTTTTGGGTGAACTAACCCTTTAAATGAAATATTATTACAGTTTAAATTAACATTAAAGGCAATTTATTTTACCCACTTAAGTAGGACTTAAGTCAAAGTCCCTTTATTCTATTGTCTTTGCTTAAGTACATCGTTGTATTACATGCATTTGTATTAATTATTAAAAGTAAAAATACTTTAATGTCATTTCTATTGAAATTTTTGTCACATATTTAAATAATTTTGTAATTATACATTTGCAATGATGAAGTTGCAGTTAAGTACTTTTAAAATATATTAACAAAGTACTTTACATGTGCTTTAGTATGTTAATAAACACATCAAAGTAAGAGTGTCTTCAAAAGCATGACAAAAGATTATTAACACATAATGATTTAAAATGTACTTTTTAATTTGAAAGTATTACAAAGTGTACTTAAGTGTATTAAGAAACAGTTATAAAAGTATACTTTCTTTAAGTGACCTTTTAATTCATTAATATTATATTATCTGCAAGTACAGTTTTTTTTAAATATACCTAAAAGATTTGAAGTACACTACAAGTGCACATTCAATACAATTAAGCACACTTCTTTTTCACAAGGGGTAGCACAGTTTAGTATAAAGAAAGCTATTATGTGACATAATAAGAAAGAGATTACACTTGCCACTCATGAGCAGAGGTGTGTGAATGTGACAGGAAACACATCCCACAAGGATTTCACAAGATTATGCGTAGTGGAAAAGCAGTTGTGACAAAATGTGTTTATAGGTGAGTAAAGAAATTGCTTAAACTGCTGTTACTGAAGATGTAAAAAATGAACTGCTGCAAAATGAATCGCAGGATTAATCTTTGAGAATTGCTAAAGCCTTTCACTAATGAAAAATAAGTCACTTGGGTAAAGCTAAAAAGATGTCTAAATACAAATAATCATTGCTTTTTTTGTAGCACAATGTTCCAGTAAGACCCTCCTCATTGTGATCTAGAAGTATATTTAGGGTTTAAAAGAGAAATCTGGAGAAATTACATCACTTGCTCACCAATGGATCCTATGCAGTGAACTGGATGAAGCATTATTACAGATTTATTTAGGCAAAAAGCAACAGTTTAAAGTTAAAATGCCTTATAGATTGATTTGTTTCTTACGAACACTCATCTTTTTGCTTCACAAGATGTTAACCGATGGACTGTGGAGTCGTGTGGAATACTAGTGAATTATTGTGATTTTTTTATCAACTGTTTGGACTCTCATTCTGACGGCACTGCAGAGGATCCTTTGGTGAGCAAATGATGAAATGCTAAATTTCTCAAAATCTGTTCCAATAAGGAACCAAAACAACATTTTCTGCAAACTGCGAGCTGTTTCTTTTAAGGGGGGTTGCTGCTAAAATTCACAGAGACTATATCACATATTGAACTTAGTTGGACCCCTTGGACCCCTTGACAGCCCTGGTTCTGAGTGAAATCGTAGTGTTTGAAGATCTGGTGCTAAAGTTAACTGGGCAAGTTAATTAACATCTTTCACCACAGGGAGGCAGTCTAAAACTAAAGCTGTATTGCCTCTACTCACTACATAGTGCAACAGTAATCTCATGTTAGTATTGCGGCATAGTAACATTGACAAGTACTACACATTCTGCGTCTGGTTTACATTTGTGTCCACACATTACAAGAGTAAAGAAAGATAGTTCAACATTGACAATATTCATACAATTAAAATCCCTTTAGGTGACACCTGCAAAGCTTATGAAATAAGAGATGAACTAATAAAGACTGAACTAAACTAAAGCTCTCATGACAAAAAAAAAAAAAAAAAGCTCACCACCCACACCAGGTAACAACAAACATGACGGCGTAATACTCCTAGCACTGGCGTGAAGATCATAAGAATACAAAGATTGAGGCATTTGTGTTCTCTTACATGAACTCGCACACTCACACTGCAGCTTTCACACCAGATTATAATGAAGAAAATGCACACATTAGTGTGCTTCTTCCACAGACAGACCCACATACGTAAGTACAGTAAGGTTTTTTTGTGTTAGCACACAAATCATTGCAGCTGTGTCAGATTATGAAAGCAGTTCTAAGGTAGAGAAACATTTACATGTACATATTAAGCATGTGTATAGGCATTATGTACAAAATGTCATCATGTACATATATTGTCAGTTCTCTAGCTAACACTACTCCTCGTTTTCTGGCATGACCCGTTACAAAATATCACCCTTTTACTCAGCCATGGCCTTTCAGTTTTATCTCGGCCAATAACGCAGTTAGAAGTCTATGCTTTGTGATGGTATCGTCAGATTATGGCAATGCGTTCAAACTCCACTGATGTGTCAGTATTAGTTGCTGGAGTGTTATCTAGTGGGGTAGAGCGCTGTATATGAAGGCACCCGCAAATATCAAAGGATTCAGTCCTGCCCTGATCTCTCTGTAATTCTGTAATGCTCTTCCTCTGGCACAACCTGTAACCGGGCATGTTGCTCTTCTGACATTTTCAATCTGGGCAAAAAATAAATAAATACATAAATAAATAAAAAAAGATGCATGGTATAAACATTTGGCTGATACCGATAAGCAGATAATTGTTGTTATGCGCAATAACCGATAAATTACGGAAGCCCTCTTTCTTGTGTTCTTGTAATCTCGACACTGCTTCTGTAGATAAATGAATAATAGATCAATTCATTTCTATTTTTTCTAAATAAATTATATAAAAATGTACAGTATGAAAAGTGGAAATTCATTTGCTAAAGATTATATTTAACAGTGTTATTAAATGATTTGTGTTTTTAAAGATTAACTTCAAGTGAGTGTTAAATGACAGCAAAAATAATCTAAATGTAAAAATAGGGGAAATGAGCACGAACTATTAAGTGTCTCAAATACCAGGTCATTTCAATATCCACCAATAAATAAATAAAAAATCAGTAACACTAAATAATATGATTTTTTGTAGTAAAACAAATAAAACAAAGATTAATATTTTAAAATGTTTTACGTGAAATACTATTTCAGTCTTTCTACTTTGAAATTTTACATTTAATTTATGTCTTGTTTGCCATTTCTTTGTAATTATTTGTGAAATGTACTGGCAATTTCTGAATGAAAATTGCTTCTACACCATATTAATTCTGATATATTGTGTATCCCTAATATAATTTCAGGCCTAAAAATAACTTTTGTATCTTTAAAAAATGTAATTATTATTTAATTATTTGTCATTTTTACATTAAATTGTTCAAATATGCTTCTAATCCTAAAAGATAGTTAGTTGGCTCAGAAGTGACCTTTTTTGAGGAAAGAAATGTCTTGTATTAAGGATTCAATCTTTTGAACTTTCTGACTCTCTCTAGAGGCTGGAAAGCAGACAGAATGTGTAATAAGTGATACAGGGTGGAAAAGACCCTCTCTTGCATTACTTTGACTAATCATTCCAAATGGCCATAATCATTCCCTTAACATTCCCAAGATTATCATGCAGTCTAACTTAACTGTATGTACATTTTCTCTCATTATCTATTACCTACATCTCTCTAGAAGTCTGTACATGGTTCTCCTCCCCTCCCTACATCCCCCAGCCCACTTCACTCATCTTCCTCCTCTCCTTCCTTACTTCTGCATTTCACACTGCAGTAAAAGAACAATGGAGGGGTCGCTCTTGGCCGCCTCTTTGAACTCCTCCAGCGTGATCTCGTCGTTGTGGTCCTTGTCCATCTTGCTGAAGATTTTGTCCACACGCTGCTGTGGGGTCAGCCCGTCTTCGTTCATACGCATCATGATCACCGTCCCAACCATCTTGTAGATTGCCTGGACATCAGAGACATCCCAAAAAATGGGATGAACACACTTCTAAAGCAAACACGTATTTTATTATGTGATGCAGTGCCTTCTCTGAATCCCTCACCTCAATGATCTCCAGCATTTCCATGCGTGTGATCTTGCCATCTCCGTCCAGGTCGTACATGTTGAAGGCCCAGTTGAGTTTCTGCTCAAAACTTCCCCTGGAAGTAATGGACAGCGCGCAGATGAACTCCCTGAAGTCAATGGTACCATCACTGTTTTTGTCAAATGTCCGAAAGGCATGCTGGGCGAATTTTGAAGCGTCGCCATAAGGAAAGAACTGAAAGACACAAAACAGCATCTGGCTTTTAGTACACTTTTTAGTAACTTAACTGCATAGCCCTACTTAAGAGAACAGTCCACCCCAAAATGATAATCACAATTTTTATGATATTTTTATAGTGACTTCTCATCATTTTTGTAGTTCATTCATTCTGCTTAACATCTTTTGTGTTCCACATAAGAAGAAAGAAAGTCATACTGGTATTTACAAGTAAATCATGATGACAGAATTTTCACATTTGAATGAACCAGCCCTGATATGCTGGTTATGTTTTGAAGCATGGCAGCTGGTTTGAGCAGGTTTAAGCTGGTCCTTGGTTGGTCATGAGCTGGTTTAAGCTGGTCCTGACTAGTTGCTTAGGACCATCTTTGGACCAGCACATGACCAGCTAAGGACCAACTATGGTCCAGCTTAAACCAGCTCAAACCAGCTGCCATGATTCAAAACATACCTAACCAGCATATGCTGTTTTTTTTCCAACAGGGAAAGCCTTGACAATATTCTTCAGTATCTTTTTTTAATTTCCTTCATGTACCTGAGGGTCACAATGAGAGTAGGTATACCTAATGTGGAAAGCATCCCTTTGACTTCCCTCACCTTGACATAGAGTTGCTGGAACTCTTCCAGATTGAGGATGCCAGATGGACAGTCCTTCAGGAACCCCTTATACCACTGCTTCAGCTCAGCTTCGTTGAACTCTGTACTCTTGGTCAAGTCATCAAGCACCTCAGGAGCAAGCTTGCTGTTGTGTTTCCCCATCTTTCTACACCTCTCTGTGAACAAGCTGGGCAAAGAGCCATTAAAATACATTCATGCTTTATGGCAGTGGTTCTCAACCAGTGGCCCGTCACGAATTCAAATGCGGCCCACCACGCTGAACACAATTAAAAAAATAACTTTCAGTTTTACAAATCAATTTAGTTTTTACATTAATTAAAAAATGTACTAAACAAATATAAGCTATAATGTTTTTGTTATGTAAAATAATTTTGTTTTTCATAAATTATTTTCAGACATGAGCAGACCTGTCGGCTACCCACGTAATTAACGTTACGCATTTAACACTTACAAGCGCGCACTTTAGCACAATTCAATTTAAATAGTCATCAGCAGCCATTAGTCCAGAAAAATTGAGCATCAGAATGGACAAATTTGTTATTAAGGGAGAAAATCGAAATGTGGAAAATGCCAGCGAAGGAACACATACAAACAAGAATAGTCGCAGTATCAGCAGTGAAGGTAGGAGAGTGCTGGACTTTCGGCATCAACTTTCGGTTTGCTCCGCCACTCACTTGAAGATGTTCAGGCAAAAGGAAACACCCATACTACGCAGCAATCATCCTTAATTGCAGAAATGTGGCAAAACATCTCTGGAGAGAACCTCAGATAATTAAATTCGAAAGTGCTTTCCATATTTAGATCAACATAGGCTACATTAGTGAACGCACATTTTCTGCAATGTCACGCGTCAAATCACGCTTCCGTGCGCGTCTTACAGACTGCAACTTACAATCGCAACTTCCTCGTGCTTATTCCGTTCGAGACGAATTTTACAAAATTGGTCAGCTCCCGACAGCATCAGGTGCTTTATTAATGGTGAGTAGAATTATTTATTTATTTGAATGAATGTAATCGATTAGATATCATAATATTTATGTTATAATATTATAAATCTGGTTGGTTTGTATCGGTGATGTAATATGTAAATGATATGCGTGCGGCCCGTGAGACTTGCACTTGGACCATAGTGCGGCCCAGTGGGAAAAAATGTTAAGAACCACTGCTTTATAGACTGACAACAGCGATCAAAAACAGAAATGTATTGTGGACAGTGGATCTCTTGACAAGATTAAAGTGAAGAAGTAATGCAACGGAGAATTGCACAATTTCACACCTTTCTCATTACTTCTGCCTCGAGTATTTGAAAAATCAAGAGTAGAGCAAGATTGTATCATTACCAAAAACTTTTATCATTAACAAAGACTTTTGTTAATTAAATGGTATTTCATGTTCTCTCAAGTCGAGTTCCCGTTAATTTTCTCTATAGAGAAAGAGATAAAACGTTCAAGGCACACTTAACATTGAGCTCTGAGGTTAATAATCAATGGTATATGTTTCTGTTGAAGCCATCAGTCAGTGCTATTTCACCATTTTTGTTAAAATGTAAATAAATTCAGGTGAAGAACTGCATGACCATGATTCTGTTTCTGTTTCTCTAACTTTTGTGAAAATAAAATGTCAAAATATGGGTGAAATAATGTTCCATTGTCATTTAGTGTAACAAATATGTTTATATAAAATTGAAACAACATTAAAGATTTAAATGTTAATGTTTAATCCCTATGGAGCAAATGAACAGGAAAATAATACTTTTGAAACCAATGAAATATTGGGTGTTCACTCTTGCTCCCTGTTATATGAATCAACCATCAGACTGACATGTAAAACAACCAATCAGTGATTGGCAATCACAGCTAGCTTTTTGCGTAAAAGATGAATATTAAAACAAATGCTAAACAATTTCTAAACTTACAGCTAAAATATATGAGCAAGTGTAACAAACTAAAACTAATCTGAAACTTAAAATCATATATATCACAAAAATAAAATCAAGTGATTTTTTTTCAACACTATCCACCTCATTTTAAAGGGATGGTTTACCCAAAAATTTAAATTCTGTCATTAATTACTCACCTTCATGTCCTTCCAAACCCGAACGACCTTCGTTCATCTTCTGAACACAAATGAAGATATTTTTGATGAAATCCGAGAGCTTTCTGACCCTTCATAGACAGCAGTGCATCTACCACCTTCAAGACCCAGAAAAAGGACCATGTCTTAGTCCATCTCTTGAACGTGTCAGTTCAAAAATATCATCAAAAATATCTTAATTTGAAAGTGTAATTTGCTTCCAGTTATTTTAGCTGTACAAAACAGTTAAGGGGTGGAACGGTTCGTGGGAAAAAATCGAACCGTACGGTTCTCTACATACGGTTCGGCACACGCTAGGACCACAGTTCGGCACACGCTAGGACCACGGTTCAACTTAAATCTGACAACGCATCTGTAATGGTTTGCTATAAATAACACGTAAAACAAACAGGGTTTGGCTAATATATGTTTCTGTTGATGGATGCGCATTCTGGCTTTACATTACAACAACAGCGATGAAAAAAAAAAACGTGGACAAAATATTCACTCTTGTTCAATGCGAGAGCTGTATGCTGGAATATGAGCATTTATTCCGTCATCACCCGGGTTCTGAGGCGCGTGCGCACAGGTGAGACCTGAACAGCACACGTTGATATCTGTTTAAGCTAAACTCATTTAAGCTTTGCCAGTTTAAACATTTAAGGGCCAGAGGACGCGAGCTTGTGTGCGCAAGTGAGAAGATTTGTGCGTGTGCTCATCCGAAGCGCGCAAACTCGTGCCTCAGAATGGACAAATTCACACAAAAATTATGTCAAAATGCCGTCTTGGTAAGTAGTGTTGGGTCGTTCTTGAACGATTCGTTCATTTTGAACGAATCTTTAATGTGACTCGGGAAGAACGAGTCGTCTCGGGGAGTGATTCGTTCAGTCGCGCATCCGCAACATCCTATAGGTTCTGTACTGGAATTCGTCAAGTAGTTCACCTGTTTCGAGTCTTCGGGTTTTTCGAGTCATTCGTTCATCACGTGACAGCCCCATAAGCTTTAACTAGCTTAGCTTTTATTAACTTTGTTACAACATTTAGTGTTATGGAAAAGAACCATCATGACAGAAATTCACACATTTATAAACTGTAAGAAGTAAAAAGCTACAATTTGAGACCAGAAACGCATCACTGTAACTGTAAGAGTAAATAATAATTATAATAATGATGATAATAATAATAATAATAAATGCAATACTGTTTTACATTTCATTATTTTATTCAATTTCTGTACCTAAAAACTAATGTTAGTTAGTAATGACCTCCCTAAAAAAATTTAGATACAAATTTTATTTGTATCTTTACTCTATTGTATTTATTTGTGCTGTTGCTTGTAGTTAGATAGATTATTCTTATTTTCTTTATTTTTATTTGACAGTATAGTTTTTGCCTAAACATAGCACATACCGAACCATACAGAAACCGTGACTGTAAAGCCGTGATACAAACCGAACCGTGAGTAAGTTGAACCGTTCCACCCCTAAAACAGTTATGCTGCTTAATATTGCAAACTGGTATTTATTTTATTTTAATGTAATGTTGTAATTATAAACACACTGATTTGCAGTGCAAATAGTTTTACCATTTACTGCGCTTTGTTACTCTTGTAGTTATTTACCTACAATGCTGTGTAAAGTACAGACTGATTAGAACTAGTCACAGTTGATGTTTCCATTTCTCTGTCTTCTGTTAGCAGCTGTTGCCTGCTATTCTTTTGGGGTTTTACACTTTGTCATGACATTATGGTTTATAACATGTCTGCCTCTGGCTGAATCCGAGATATATTAAACCAAATCCAAATTGCCCTGGGCTTTGAAAATGGATATATTTGGGTGCACATATGACAAATGAGGCACTGCGTTAATGAGTCATTATCTCCGCTCTCGGATTATTAAAGTTCATTAAATATTGAACAGGTCTAAATAGTTGACGAGGGGCACATGACTACGGAATACAGCAGCAGCAGCTTTGCAGAGGAACTCATCTGAGACGTTCTGAGACCCGGTCGCCCACGGCGCTATTTTCTCCCCCTGACAGAAGGTCATTTTAGTGGGATCATGATGACTAATCAGAGGTGAGCATTCATCTCCTCTCGTTTTCTCTTGCTCTTTTTCACTCCCTCTCTGTCGCTGACCTTTTTTGGAATTCTGTGGTCTGGCGGCTTTGCTAATCTTGGCATCTTTCTGATTAGTTAACATTAGACGGGGGTTTAATTAAAGATCTAAGTGGTTAATGAACTGTATGGCTGACAACATTCGCCTCAAGGCTCTGGAAAGCTGATTCTTTGGGGCTGGTGAGACAATCCACTATTGTTTTCAATCAGAAAGGCTTCCATCAAACTCTGCAAGCACTCATGCCCACAGGCCGACCTTTGTTAACTCGTTTGTAATGAGTGACTGCTCAAAGAGCCGGCGTGCAAGAGGAAACAAAATCTGTCAATCATTACTCCAGAGCCCTCTATGAAACTGCAAAGGAAATGAAGAATGGCTCAAATTGGAAAGCAATGTTGGTGGAGGGGCTTATGAAAGTTAATCTACACCCATATTGCTTTGGAACCTGTGAGCGAGTTGTGTGGTTACCTGGGAGTTGTAACATCAAGTTGAACACACTTTGTGGAAACAACTTTATCCCACTGGTTTTGGATTGTTGTTTAAGCAAACATACACTACAGCACTGAAGTTTGTTGTACTTTGGTCTAGGCCCAGGCCCCAGACTGGTGCAGCTTAGCAGCATCTTCTGTGCACACTTGTGAAACACACTTGTGATAATTTCAAAATTTGTGAAAATAAATTGTTCAATCAGTAGGGAAAACTATGGGTAAAAATATAGATTTTTCCAATTAATTGCGATCTTCATTTGAACTATCCTGATATTGATTCTTGAAATCACTAGATCGATCTTTACTCTATTTTCAGTGGCTGTGTGAAAATGTATTTGCTGCACTTACTGTTCTGAAGCTGTCTGTGTTCAGCTGAACTCACTCAACTGTGCTGCCTGGACCCTGTTGTTAATTCTTAAAATGAATGTTTTCATAATGTGAAGTAGTTTGCCTGTAACCATGTTTCCTGTACCACTTTTC